TTTTTTTTTTTTTTTTTTCAATTAACATTTTTCCAGCAATGAAATTGATCAAAAGCGACAAATAAGACATTTATAATGTCACAAAAAAAAATTCTATTTCAAACGAACGCTGTTCTTTTTCAACTTTCTGCTCATCTGTGAATCCTGAAAAATCAAATGCATCACGGTTTCCACAAAAATATCGTGCAGCACAACTGTATTCAACACTGATAATAATCAGAAAAGCAGCAAGTCAGCATATCAGAATGATTTCTGAAGAATCACGTGACACTGAAGACTAGAGTAATGATCGGAGCAATAAATTAGTTTAATAGATATTAAATAGGCCTGTCACGATCATGCATTTAGTGCTGACGATTCATTAATTGTCTGTTTTGTTCAATGCAATTACATTGTCAGTCAAATACATATATTTTTTTTTATTAAATTTAATTAATTTGAATATATAATTTTTTCGTATAATCTTTCCTTATGTGATTTACAGCAATAACTGACTGCTGTGATGCTGAAATCTGACTCGCCTCCAGGAAAATGAGACGCAACAGCAACATTTACACAAATGTAAACTGTACAATTATTGTGGATATCTCAAATAACTGCAAAAACCTGACAGGCCTTATATTAAAATAAAAAAACAGTGTTTGAAATTGTAATATTTAACAACATAACTTTTTTTCCCCCTGTGTTTTTGATCAAAGGCAGTCTTGGCGAGCAGAAGAGACTACCAGCCCAAACCTTTGAGCTGTAGTGTGTAATTAATTAAGTGTATTTGGTGAAGCGCAGACCTTCTTCCTGGGCTTGAGGTGCTCCCTCCACTCCTTCAGCTGCTGGTTGTGCTGCTCGTCCACAGCCTTCAGACGCTGCGTCTCGTTTTCTATCAGCAGGTGACACTTCTCATTCTGCAGGAGACCAGCACACAGTGACACACTGATACAGACACAGCTTTTCTCTACGGTTTGAGACGACGTGTTTGACAGAGGCTTCTGAATTTGAAAGGGAATTTGAAAATATTGATGCATGTTGAGTGGTGTGATGTATATTGTATTGATAGATATTTATGTTTATACTGGTATGTGCCTGTTATGTGCTGTTCACTTTCTAAAGATATACTGTATGATCATTTGTAAACATTGGAAGCAAACAGCAAACGTATTTCATTCGGTACTGCGGCCAAACTAAATTCTCATTTTTTTTGTGATATCAACCTCAAATTTGGAACACAACGTTGTTAGATTTATGGCTTTGATTTTCTAGCAGGTTTAGAGTAAAACATGTTTTAGAAAATAAGTACTTCATATATGTGACCGTGGAGCACAAAACCAGTCATAAGGGTCAATTTTTCGAAATTGAGATTTACACATCATCTGAAAGATGAATAAATAAGCTTTCCATTGAATTAAGTTCTTAGCGATGCATATTACTAATCAAACATTAAGTTTTGATATATTTACGGTAGGAAATTTACAAAATATCTTCATGGAACATGATCTTTACTTAATATCCTAATGATTTTTGGCATAAAAGAAAAATGTATAATTTTGACCCATACAATGTATTGTTGGCTATTGCTACAAATATACCCCAGCGACCTAACACTGCTTTTGTGCTGCAGGGTCACATATTTAAAATAATTCTTCTTCATGAAAAAAAACAAAAACACATCTGCATCATGCATCTAACTTATCACTTTAATACCCATCTCACCATCGGTCAAATTGCATTATTTGTATTATATATATATAACAATTCACTAAACAAGAAGTTAATACTAAATGACTTAGAGCAAAAAAGACAATATTGTCTCTACGATTTATTTCACTAATGAAAATGGTTTGTTACTGAATTAATTTGCGTGTTTGGACATATCTGCCGAGCCAATTGCTGCGTCCCAATTTGCATACTATCCGTCCTAAATAGTATTCGAAATTAGAATTAGTATGTCCCAAATTGTAGTATGTTGAAAAGAGTATTCCAAAGCTACCCGGATGGTTTACTGCTTCCGAAGTGCAGATCGATGCACACTCTAACGGGTAATATTGCCCACAACACATTGCGCGGTGGACGCGGATTCGATTAGAACTACAAACACGCATATCCGCCATGTTTGTAGTTTTTTAACACTTTTCATGCAAGACCGACGGACAGGTAGAGAAAGGGGTTTGAGTGATAAATAATCAATATCTAACCTGTTGAAAAAATATGTATTTAATGTTATCCGCGCTGTATTTCATCTGCAGCAACACTGTGAACTTTATAATGATACGTTTGGTCATTAACTTTTAAATGCATCATTATGCAAACATATGAGCAGAGTTCTCTGCATGATAGACCCACGACGGACAGATCAACGTGCCTCTTCATTTCTCTCCAGTACGGTAGGAAACTAAATTAAACGAAATATGGATAATGTTAACTTTGACAAGATGATTGACAGTGCAGTTTAAACTGTGACAAGATGCACATCACTAAGCAACAGAGCGTCCGTTAAAGACACAGTTATGACGAAGTAGCATGTCCCAAAGCTTGCATACTATTCTGCTACATACTCAAAAGTATGTACTTTTTCTTCCCAAAAAGAGTACATACTTTTAGGGCTTAGTATAAGTAGGCGAATTGGGACACAGCAAATGACTCACTCATTAGGACAGTGGTTTGCCGCCACCTGCTGGCAATCTGAGTTTCATATTTAAAAGTATCATTCTATTTTTTGGAATCATTTCATATATTCCAAATTTCATATTTAAAACATTAATCTCAATAACGTTATTTATGCAACTTGTAAGTGCATGCACAAAGTGCTCCTAAATAAAAATAAAAGCGTTTAGAGCCCCGCATGTCTAATTATATTCAGCTCTCTTAAAAATAAAGACCAAAGTAACTTAAAGTGTATCCCGTGTATTCTGACACAATCACGGATATCCACTCATCTTTTGTGTTGTATACAAGTGTGAGCGTCTATTAGAAAGAGTTTAGTTCACCTGCAGCTGCTGCAGTTCTCTGGCGTTTCCCTCGCACTCGCTGATCTTCTCCTTCATCTGGTTCTCGTGTTTCTGCAGCTGGTGCAAGCGCTCGGCCTTCTGCCTCTTCTCCTCCAGCCTGGAGAACTGAACAGAGAGAGAGATGAGGGTCTCTGAGAGGAGGACACATACTGTAGGGCCGTCGGAGACACGCTTTACCTGCTTGGTCTTCTCGCGGTCTTCTGCGGAGCTTCCGCTGGAGTGGATCCTCAGGCTCTTCTTGAACATGGCCATGCGTGTTTTGGCCTCGCTGCGCTGGATCTTGGGCAGCCGGTTCTTCTGCTGCTGCTGTCGGGCCTTGAGGAGCTCGATCATACGCTGGTTGTAGCACTGCATCTGCTCCTGCTCCTGTGACAGCACACACAGACACGGCTCAGTGACACACCTTCCACCCAGCCATAGATATGTTTAGATGAGTTAGTTTAGTTTAGGTATTTTTAAAGCACATTTACACAACCAAGGTTGCCACAACAGAATGCTAAAAAGGACAGACTCTGTGCATTCACAATTTAAACACCAATTGTGACCCTGGAGCACAAATCCAGTCATAAGGGTCAATTTTTCCGGTATGAGATTTGCAAAATATCTTCATGGAACATGATCTTTACTTAATATCCTAATGATTTTTGGCATAAAAGAAAAATCTATAATTTTGACCCAAGACCCAAGACTTAAAGACTGCTTTTGTGCTCCAGGGTCACAATTAATGTTAAAACTCAAGCAAGCAATAATAAATGACCTTTTAACAAGGCTTTAAAAACTGAAAAGGTCTGAGCGGATCTTATATGCATAAGCAGTGCGTTCCAGAGTTTGGGGCCGGCAACTGAAAAAGCACGATCTGCTTTAAGTTTGCATCTGGTTCTGGGAGCCACTAAAAGACCCTGATCAGAAGACCTCAAAGGCCTGAGAGAGGAATAGTACAAATATTTTGGGGCCAGTCCATTTAAAGATTTAAAAACAACGAATAACTAATGAAATAATAACTCAACCAGGAGCTGCTAACAGCTGTCCGCGTCATGTTTTTGCCAACTAAACACAAGAGAGAACTAGTCGATACAACGGTTGACCAAAACAAAGCATAATTTTATTTTCTTCTTTTTTTTTTTATCAGTAAAATTCAGAATTTTCCAATGAATCATTCAGACAGATTTGTGAATAAGTTCAACTAAAAAGAAACAACTCTTTTAAAATATTTGAGTTATTTGAGTAGTATTTATGTGACATTACAGTATTCATTCATATATTTAATTTGTTTACATTTTAGTAATTTTGTTATGTGCTTGTGTCAGGATTTTCTAAAACATTTTGTTGGTTTAGGCTTTAATTTATTTTTATTTCATTTTTCAGTTTACATTTTTAATTAATTTATTCCCTGTTAGTCGTTTTAGTGCCTCAACTTAAACTTATTTCAATTGGTTGTCAAGGTATATACTATTTAGTTATTAATGTTGAATATTTTATTTATATATATATTATATTATGTTTTTTGATTATTATTTTATTACTATTTTTTTTAACTGTTTGTTTTTTTTTCCAGTTGCAATTTTAGTGCTTTAACTTAAATGATATGTTTTTATATATTTTATTTCAGCTTGATTCCAATTATCAAAATGTTTTTAAGTGTTTTAATTCTATGTTTTAGCTAACAATAATAACCTTGCTGTACACAAGATCAATATTTAGCCACTAAACTTCTTTAGCGCACACGGGTCAACGACGAAAAAGGGTTTAAGCATAAAAACAACAAGTGTAATACAGCTTTAAATTGTTGTTGTTTTTCCCAAAAAAATTGAAAAAGTTTTCTGTTCAATTTAATTGCTTTTTTTTTTCCAGAGCAAAAAATAAATATCATACATTATCCCCTGATTTACAGAAGAGAGCCACTAAAATGTCATTCAGTGTAACAATCTTGTCAGGCATATTTACATCAAAAATCAATTTATGACACATTATAGACACTTTACTTACATTTAATGTGCTTTCTATGGACATATAATCACTTTTGTAAATTTATTTTGATGCGGACATCTTAATGTAAAAGTATTTATGAATAAAGACACAAACTTTGAATTTGTTTTTGTATTATATATTCATACTTGATTTGTGAATATATTCATTTCAATGACTATAAATAATCCTGAGCATAGAATCTAAAAAAAAAAAAGTTTAGTAATGACTATTCATTACTAGTTGATATTACTTTACACGAGCTATTCATGCTTGGACAACAGTTTTTAACGTCAATGTTATCTGCATGCATCTGTCACTGTTGACAGATCTCTCCGACTGGCAGCAGCAGCATCTGTGAGGAAAAGCAGTGAGAATGAAGGATGCTTCCAGACCTTCTCGTGTTTCTTGAGGAGCTGGTGTCTCTGCAGAAAGTACTGGTCCTTCAGCTGCTGTTTGAGGAGCTGGTGTCTCTCGTGCAAGCTCTTCTCTTCCAGGTCCCACACAGTGGCCTCTCGCTCTGACACACAACAGCAGCACTCGGCTTGTAAGCATGCAGTCTGAGTAAAAGGTAAGGATGCTCTGGTCTGAGTGCATTTATACCTCGGAGCAGGTTCTGTTTTACGATGAGACACTGGCGCTCTGTCTCGGAGATTTCCCGCTTGTTCTGAGCGATGATGCTCTTCAGAGTCAAGTCCAGAAAATCCCTCTGGTCTGCCAGGAACTTCTCTCCCTGCGCAGAGAAGAGTCAGGAACACACACACACACACACACACACCTCAGTTCAGTTTTAGTTGTGCGCCGCAGCTTTAAGACGTTCACTGACCTCGTCTGACTTCATCTGCTGGAAGTTGTTCATTTTGATCTTCATGCTTCCTTTCCTCTGACTCCTGGGCAGTTTCTCCACTTCTTGTTTGACCTGAGACGAAATAAATGAAGATAGAAATGTTTCAAACTGAACACAATTCTATGTTAACTACATAGAAATGTCACAAATGTTATTGCATTAGATAATCGATCAGACGTAACGGTTAGAATAAAGACTTTTCGGTCTTTGAGACGCATTATAATGTTGAGTTTTGCATTCATTTAAATTATATTTAAGAAAATATTATGTGAGATGTCGGTGGCTCTTCAGCACACAACCTAGTCATAGTTTGTCCTTTATTAATATTTATACCACAGGGCCGCTGAATGCTTGAATCTGATTGGCTGACAAACGTTGGAAGGTGTGCAATTATTTTCTCCCGCTCTCTCTCCCTCGCAGACGCGCACACATACAGTACAAACACTTGCACACATAGAAACATTGTTAGCGCTACTCTCACGATTGTATCAGTAAAATAGCATAGCAACTTAAAAGCTACATGACAAGCGAGGTAACAACGGCGCTGTTCTTGAAGAAAATGTAGCTACTTAAAGTTTCACTATTAGTAGAGATGCTGCTGCCAAACACTTCTGAGAGACGCACTGCATTGAATTATTAAAAAATAACGCACACCCGAGGTGTAACGGCCACTCCGCGGTATGCATTATTTTTCTAATAATTCAACGGCCTGTCATCAATTATTCCTTACATAAATTATGTCCTATAAAATTCCTATAAATCTAGTTTTTAGTTTTTCTCAAAATCAAACATATTGCTTCTAGATGTTTACTCTTCTTAAAAAACAGTCAGTGCATTGATAATATCTCACATTTAAAAAAATATCTCACATTTTCCTGTCATATTATCATCAACAATGCTTAAAAAAAATTTCATTTTCGTCTGGTTTTTATCTTTTGATAAAATTGAAGAAAAAAAAAATTAGTGCTGTCAAACGGTGTATCGCGATTAATCACATCAAAAATAAAAGTGTTTGTTTACATAATATATGTGTGTGTGCTGTGCGGTGCGGTGTATATTTATTATGTATATATAAATACACACACATGCATGTATATATTTCAGGGGAAAAAATTATGTTTATATATTAAATATATTTATTTATAATATAAATTATATGAATATAAATATAGACATGTAAATACATGTAAATATAAAAAAATTAATATACATGCATGTTTGGTATTATAATGTTATACTAAAACTAAAACAATGGAAAAACCCTTAAGATAACATGAAGAAAGAAAAAAACATATCTTAAGCGTGCATAATAACATAAGTGGACTTTGAACGATTAATTGCCGCTTTGAACGATTACGTAATTGTGGCATCCATAATTAGAAATTAGATTAATTGTGCATCCCTAATAAACAGCCAATGTCCCAGTAATATTCATGCTAAGTTAATAGTGAGAACTGGACACTAAAGTGTTAACAATACTCGTATTAGCTCACCAAAGTATTTAAAGTGAGAAGGGTAGATAAAAAGCATGCATTTTGATTTTAAATCCACTACTGTATTGTGTTTTATATAAATGTTCTACAGTCTATACACAGTATTAAGTTCAATTACATTTGGGGAAAAGTAACTAAATTACAGTAACTAATTACTTAGTAACTAGTTACACCCTGATAATAAATAGCATTCATTTATTGTTGGCAGTTTTGATTTGAGATATGACTGAAATGAGTGCAAAAGTGTAGTTTTTTTAATAACTCATGGTCTGACCTCTTTCTTGCGGTGCTTCATCTGATCCAGGAACTTGTTGTAGGCTTTCTCTTGCTCGGCGCGGATGCGTTTGCCCTCGTCTCGCAGTCGAACCGTGTGCTCCGTCTCCATTCTCTCGACGCTCTGCTTCTGCTGTTTCTCCAGCGTCTCCAGCTCGGTGTCGTAGTATTTCTTCTTGGCCTGTGAGCGATATATCAGCACTATTCATTGACGTTTTATGTAAGTGTGTAATATGTGACCCTGCAGCACAAAAGCAGTGTTAAGTCGCTGGGGTATATTTGTAGCAATAGCCAACAATACATTGTATGGGTCAAAATTATCTATTTTTCTTGTATGCCAAAAATCATTAGGATATTAAGTGAAGATCATGTTCCATGAAGATATTTTGTAAATGTCCTACCGTAAATATATCAAAACTTAATTTTTGATTAGTAATATGCATTGCTAAGAACTTCATTTGGACAACTTTAAAGATGATTTTCTCAATATTTAGATTTTTTTGCACCAAATAGTTGTTTCTCAGCTAAATATTGTCCAATCATAACAAACCATACATCAATGGAAAGCTTATTTATTCAGCTTTATTCAGATGATGTATAAATCTCAATTTCACAAAATTGACCCTTACGACTGTTTTTGTGCTCCAGGGTCACATATTAGGAATATTTTAATATCGTCTCTTCTCCCAGAAATAATGTCCAAGAAAACACACTCTTTATTTAACTTCTTATATTAAGGCGAGACACTACAGACCAGTGCTTTTGTTTTTTTCCAGAACTGGACATTTTATGTGCTACAATAACATGTCTTCTTTTAGACTACAAACATCCAAAAATACACACCTGTAGTTTAGATTTCAATTATAATAGATTTTTTCTTCTGCACTGAGCCAAAAGTACTTACATACTCAAACTGTCCAGTTCTGTTCCTGTCTATATTAATAAAACAATCACCCGGTTTATATAACATTTAATATTTATAGTGTATTAATACTATTTATAGTGAATGGGTGCCATCAGAATGAGAGTCCAAACAGATAAAAACATCACAATAATCCACAAGTAAACACTTCAGACATTCTGACGGCACCCATTCACTGCAGAGCATCCATTGCTGAGACACTGATGCAATGCTACATTTCTACAAATCTGATGAAGAAACAAACTCATCCTAATCTGGGATGGCCTGAGGGTGGTGTCTAGCCTTGATGGGAAGCGATTTAATTTTGTCTAGAGACCGCTGGGACTCACATTCATCTCCTGGTCGAATCTGCGCTGCATCTGCTCCCGCTGCTCTTTCAGCTTCAGATTGAGCAAAGCCTGAGCGCGATGCTGTTCTTTCTGCAGCAGACGCAGATCTCGAAGCTCCTGACGCCTGCGTGTGTCAAAGAACAAACACATGTGAGGAATCATTCATGACCTGTTACACAATAACCTGTAATCCCAAAATTGCATGACATGCTTTCTTCTGTCAAACATATATTTTGAAATGTCCATACAATGGAAGTCAATGTGGTTTAGTTACTTCTTTTGTGTTCTGCAGACAGTCGTACAGCTTTGGAACGACAGGACGGTGAGTAAATGTTGACAGAATTCTCATTTTTGGGCGACTGTCCCTTTAAGATGAACATTTGAAACAACACATATGTGACCCTGCAGCACAAAAGCAGTGTTAAGTCGCTGGGGTATATTTGTAGCAATAGCCAACAATACATTGTATGGGTCAAAATTATCCATTTTTCTTTTATACCAAAAATCATTAGGATATTAAGTAAAGATCATGTTCCTTGAAGATATTTTGTAAATGTCCTACTGTAAATATATCAAAACTTAATTTTTGATTAGTTATATGCATTGCTAAGAACTTCATTTGGACAACTTTAAAGATGATTTTCTCAATATTTAGATTTTTTTGCACACTCAGATTCCAGATTTTCAAATAGTTGCATCTCCAAATATTGTCCTATCCTAACAAACCATACATCAATGGAGAGCTTATTTATTCATGATGTATAAATCTCAATGACCCTCATGACTGGTTTTGTGCTCCAGGGTCACATATGAAGTCTCCCGCCAACCAAAGAATGCTCAGAATGCAGCGACGCTCTGTTCTTCTACTGTCACGGCCCACAGACGGCAGAGGATTCATGGGAAAACACCCCCAACTCATTCATTACATGACTTCACCGACAGCCAAACACCAGAGGAATGTTCCACACAGATACAGTATTTGATGTGGGGCTGAATTTCAAGCCTGTCAAGAACACGGCCCAGTCAGATTTCACCACAAAACCAAAAGAAAGGAAGACATTATATAAGTCTATATAGACGAATGTTATGAGTTATTTTTCTTTATGCAAATATAGTCTAATACAATTTATTTAAAAAAAAATAATACATTAATAATGTAATGTATGCCATTGAAAAGTTTAGGATCGGTAAGATTTTTTAATGTTTTTTTTTTGTTTTTTTTTAAGTCTCTTTTGCTCATCAAGGCTGCATTTATTTGATCAAAAAAAAAAATAATAATAATAATATTGTGAAATATTTTTACAATTTAAAATTACATTTTGTATTTCAATATACCTTAAAATATAATTTATTTCTGTAATGTGTTTATTTCTATTTCTACTCCTACATATTCTAATATACACTACCATTCAAAAGTTTGAGGTCAGTAATTTTTTTCTTTTTGTTTGAAAGAAATTAATACTTTTAATCGGCAAGGATGTGTTAAATTGATTAAAGTGATACTAAAGACTTATATTCTTAGAAAAGATTTATATTTTGAATAAATGCTGTTTTTTTTTACTTTTTATCCATCAAAGAATCCTCAAAAAGTATCACAGGTTCCCCCCCCAAAAAAAATCAGCTTTGCATCACAGGAATAAATTATGTTTAAAGTATATTAAAATAGAAAACGGTTATTTTAAATTGCAATAATATTTCACATTATTACAATTTTCTCTGTATTTTTAATCAAATAAATGCAGCCTTGATGAGCAAAAGAGACTTGTTTCGAAACATTAAAAATCTTACTGTGATCCCAAACATTTGAAAGGCAGTGTGTGTATATGACTCAAAAATATTTATCTTGATTTTAGGGTAAAATGCGACCTGGACGATGTGTTTTTTGTGAGACTGAGATGAAGCTGTGGATATAATATCACATGTGAGTTCACCATCACACCAGTAGATGGCAGAAGTGTTAGTGTGTGCTGGAAACACTCCACATTTAATCTGCTACCAGCAGCCGAGGTGTTTCACAAGAGTTCAGAAGATCCGATCTCTCTCCTCTGGCTCTACTCAAAGCTTCCCTTGTGTATTTATGTCCCATTTGGAAAGGACAAGATCTCGGACCAGAGGACTGAAATAGTCTGTTTACGCGGCCGAGATGCAAGATCAAGTGAAAAAATGCTTCTGAGTTTGATTAAAGAGAGTGGACTTGCCTGAGGAACCTCATTTCTTCATCTTTCTTCTCGTCATCAGTGATGATTTTGGAGGTGGTGACGCTGAGCTCCACACCGTCCACCAGGAACTTACGCGTGCGTTTCAGCGTCTTCTTGTTGTCCTGGTGGACAAATAAATGAGAGAAAAGTGGTAGTGAGGAAACAGACTGTAATGTGTGTGGTAGGTAGCAGGATTTTAGGGAATTGTGGAGTTAAAAAAAAAAATAAAAATACATGCAGAAGAAGGACTTGGTAGCAAATTATTAAACAAACCATTAAAATAAATGCATTATGCATTATGTTAACTGAAAACTTGAACACTTGAGATGATGCTGAAAATACAGCTGCGCATCACAGAAATAAATTATATTTCAAAGTATATTGAAATAGAAAACTGTTATTTTAAAGTTTTTTTTCTGTATTTTTGATCAAATAAATGCACCCTTGATGAGCAAAAGAGACTTCTTTAAAAAAACTAAAACAATTTAATTCCAAACTTTAGAAACATTAGTGTATACATATACATTAATATACATGCATGCAAACATATACTAAAATAGCACTGATTTATAGACCCAGAGGCATAATGAATGGTTGAACTGGAGCAAGAAAGAAGAAATGACGAAGCAAAACCATGCGAAGGGTGTGAACAGGAAGCAGTTCTGACAGGAAGTGCCAGCAGCTCATGAGCAGAACATTCTCAACAACAACAACAACAACAACAGAGAGAAAAAAATAAATCCTATATAAACTGTGAATATTTAAAATTTGTCAAACACTCCCATCCTCTCTAAAAAGACACTGACAGCACAAGTTTGTCATTTTTATGCCGCACTCGTCCTGTGATGTGGTTTCAGCGCGACAAAGCCACAGTTTCCATGCAATACAGTGTGCATGCATCAACGATTGCATTCTGATGCTGCAAGAGGACAAGAGAGAGCTCAGCGTCTGAATCATGCTGGAAATATGGCAGAAATGAGAAACGAGGCTGTTCTCTGCCGCCCTGAACAAAGAGCAGAACTCAATCATCACACAGAGACTGATGCACAATGAGCAAAGAGCGTTTGGGAGAAATGCATGGAAAATCTGACGCCAGCTTCACAGACCAGCCGCTCGAAATATGCAACAAATCAATGACTTCATTTAAAGTAATGTTCCGGGTTCAAAACCAGTTTCTGAAGATTACAGTGGAGCACAATACAAGTCCATGAGGGAAGGCAGTGCACTGGAATATGTTGATAATATATATATATATA